AAGGTATAAGGGGTGACGTTTCAAAGCATACTTTGGTGAGACCGAGATTCTTGTTTTAGCCAAAAAGCAATTGGTTCTATGTCAATTGATGAGGCGTGGTGAGTATGCCAAAAAGCACGTGGTTCTATATTGCGTGATGAGGCCTTTTGAGTGTTTGAGTCAAAAAGCATGCGGTTCTATGTCGTGTGATGAGACTTTCTAGAGTGAATATCCAAAAAGCTCGTGGTTCTATGTCACGGGATGAGGTTATAAATTTTTCTCGTGTCAACATGACAAAGTTATGCCAAAGAAAATTGAACCCTTACGCTTTGACAAATATTTTTGCAAGAAAATGTTTTCCAATTTAGCCATTAAAAAAAATTATTTGATCTTTAAAGTACTCTTACAAATGTAGTTATCCCAAGGAAAGTTTGGAAAATTTTGGTTGGTGTAAAAATATTGGTTTGACAAAATTCTTTTACATTTCTAACAACATGGGTGAGAATCTAAAGGTTCATTTATTCTTAACAAAAGGTTGATGACTATCTCATTCCTTCTGTCCTTCATAATATATAGCTTAACCCTTCCCTCTGCAATTATTAATTTGTCTTTATACTTATACTTATTCAATTTGTTGCTTGAGGGCAAGCAACGTTTAAGTGTGAGGAATTTTGATAAGTCCGTTTCGTTCTTATCATTAACATCATATTCTAAACATTATTGCACGTAAATAATATTTAATCATCTCATAAAATGTGATTTTAATGGATAAAACTCTCATTTTCGTTCTAAGAGTCATAAAATGGGATTCCACATGAAATCATCATAAATCATTCATTTTTGTTCAAGTATTTGAGAAAAAGGGAATAAATCATCAAGGGATCAAGATTCGGGCTTGAACGAGCTTCCGGGAGGTCAAAAACAATGTTCGGGACCAAAACGGAGTGAAATTGGGCCAAAATCACGAAACAGCCGCGAAGCCCAACGGACCAAGGCCTCCAGGCGTCCAACTTGGACGCTTGAAGTTGGACGCCTGGGCTAGTTTGCAATCCAAGAAAGACACGTGGCAAAATCTGGTTGGCTGGAGCAGCTCAAGCGTCCCGATCTGGACGCTTGGACTTGGACGCTTTGACTTGGACGCCTTGGCTTCGTTCCTATAAATACAGCGCGATTCTCTCCATACACACATCACTTTCATCCCCTCTCTCGGGATTTGAGCTTAATATTCCATTTCTAAATATTAGTTTAGCATTTTAGTAGTTTTAGAATAATTTCTGGAGGAATTCTACTCACGGTCTATTATGTTTCGCCTTTACGGAAGTTGTAAGTTTACTCTATTTAATAAAATGCGGTTTTAATTCATGTTTCCATAGCATGAGTTAGGGTCCGGATCTCTGGGTCTGGACTAATTTGGTTGTTTATTTTTTATGTTAAATTAATGTTGGAATGGTTAATCTGTTGTTCTTGCCTTATCTGGTTAATTACTCTCGAAAGATTTAATTGGCCATTTATTGAGAAAATATTGTATGCCAAAAGGCTATGATATTCAACTGTCAACGGATTAAGTACAAATCTAGAAATGGATGAGTAGTAATAGAAAAATTATTATTCCAATTGTTAATTTAATATGATAAAATAAATTCAAATGACGTCCAGACCCTAGGTCCAGATCTATACTTATACTATGTAAACTTAATTTATTTATTATTTTTACTCTGCCTTTTTTATAGTCGTTCCGAGAAGACTTTCATAAACCAATCCTAATCTTCGCCTAATTAGAGTAATTAAACTAATTCCCTTCGTCCACTCCTCGAGAGATACGACACTCGGAGAGAAAACTGACCCTTTGTTGGGAAGGTTTACTACCCGAAAAA